CTACTACTACTACTACTACCACTCGTCTCTCTAGTACGACCACTAGTACAACTATTTTCGTCTTCTTCTTCTTCTACTACTACCTTGTACTATACAACTCCCTCTGCTGCTGCTGCTGCTACTGCTACTGCTGCTGCTGCCATCTATTTTGCTACCCGCACCAAGTCTATCTTCGCTTGTGATGATGACTCTTGCCGCTGGTGCTTCTGCTGTTCTGCTTTTCTAACTTAACCTCTCGTTGTACTACAGATCCTACATGTGCCTGGACAACCCCAGAAACCCAGCAAGCCTTTTAAGACTCCGTGTCCCACCGGCCTCCCAAATGTAATCCGAAATCTTGGCTTTCCGCAATCCACCTGAGGTCACAATGCCGCTGAGCACCAAGGGACTATGCAAGGCTTATTCGAAACTCAGAGGACGGCTGCTTCGGGTACCTTTGGGTATTTTGGAATCGACATTGCTTGATGTCTTGGAATTTGCAGATCTGAACTTGTGCGGGTATAGTGTCGCATCCAGATTTGTCCTAAGTGGGGCCCAGGGACTTGTCGGAGTTGCAAACACAATTCAGAGAGTCTGTTCTTTCGTCCACACAGGCACCCCCACTGCGAAATCCTACCAAAGATGCGTGCATGAAGCACAATTGTGAGAACCCTAAACCCTATAAACCTTATAAACCCTAAACCCTAAACCCTAAACCGGTATCTATAGACCCGATGCTAGTGTAATATAGCCCTTCCTTAAGCACCCACCCCGTTGTTGCAGACATGGGGACGCACTACATTCAGAGTGGCTACCTACACTTGCATGATGCTAGAGTAATTCTATAGACCCCCTAGGCTTGCTTATAAGCACCCGGCTATCCCGAATCCTTTCCAGGTTCTGAATGTATCCGCATAATAACAAACCCGACTGTGGCTGTTGGGTTTGTGTGCTGCCGGCTTCGATAGGAATAACCACATTGCTGCATTTCTGGTGGAATACCAGTATAGTCGTGCAGAAGTAGGTGAATGCAATATGTAATGCAGTGCTACCGTGACCCACAATGGAACTACTATCAACATACACCGCGCTAACATTTATAGGTGACAGCCTTATAAGCTTGCAGCTGCCATGGAGCCTGCTCCGAGACACCCGGCTTGGGAGCCGCTATCCTTGGTTCAGTGTCTTTACGCTGGTCGTGTGCCCAAGGTGCTTTGCCCAAACTTGCAAGGCCCCGCAACCATAGAGATCTATAGAAATAGATGTAGATGTAGGTTTACAGGTACCATTACAGAACTAGTCGTATAATGGAACTATTGATAGACATGTCTATCAATAGTTCCATTATACGACTATGTATATATATATATA